GGGTCAGTGTGGGAAGTAAAGGGAAGAACATGCAATAAAGGAGAACTGCAAACATGAGTTAATGGAGTGAAAACTGGAGATTCCATGGACCGAAATGGGGACTTTGGAGGGGATCATGACGGATTTATTACAAGGACTGGAGAAGTTAGTATTGGCAAGCAGGTCCTTGTAAACTTATGATAAAGTTCAATCAAATTGTGGGGACAGAAACCATATTGTAGGGAGTAAGGAGGTAGAGAGAGGAAATGAAGCAGAGCTCAGGAACAACCACTTATTAGATGGTTGTTTGACAGTGGAGGGAATGAATGATAGTCTAGTGGATGAACCAGATAGCAGGAGATGAAAATTTTCCCCAACACCAGGAAAAAGCTACATGTTGTTAAAGCAAGTAGTAAAGGAGGCAGAGCACTGGAGATGTTGGAGAAAACAGATTTAAGAGGATAAACTGGAATGCAGAAGACTTGGGAAGAGATGGGGTCAGCAAGCCACCACCATAATGGCTGTATCTTAGCAGCCAAACTAATGCAGGGTTAATCATCTCAATGTCAGAGGCCAAGAGGACAGCCTCCATTTTCCGAATACAGGTAGGAATTAAAGGAGTACCCAACCTGTCTAACCAGGTAATCTGAGCTGCTTTTGTGTGAAATAATCACCAGGATCAACTGGAATTTACCTATCTAAACATATTATAAAGGTTCCTAGGGTGCTTAGGACTGTGCAAGACAAATAAAAGCTGGAGGAGCTTGAGAAACCTGCCTTAAGGGGAATCCACATGAGCCCCGAGTACAGCTGAAGTTTCACAACAGTATTTGGGACTAGCCTTAGTTCAAGCAGGAGAGGGGGCGGGGAACACACTTTCTACCTCACTGATGAAGGCAAGTCCTAGAAAATAGAGCTTTGTAAGTTATAAATTACAGCTCATTGGTTTCATATAGAAGAATCTATTGTTACAAAGGCATCTTGAGGATGCAAAAAATTAGGGACTATGTTAGATAGCTAAAATATGTTTTCCAAGTAAAAAGACTTGCCTCTAGACTTGAAAGCTATACTTAGCCTGATTTGGATCCAAACTCTAAAGGTAGAATCATATCTGGATAATTATTAACCAACAACTCTCTCTGAAGTCAGCATTAGTTACAAAGGAAATGGTTGGATTTAGCCAAAAAAAACAAAAACAAAACAAAACAAAACAAAAAGTAATATTTAACTGATTATAGAGAACAGCAAATAGAACATCACATTTTAAGTGGGGGAAAAAAAAATCTTCCTTAAAGAAATGATCATGGTCTTTCTGCACTGTTTCAAAGCTGGGAAAGATTATTATTCACATTCTTAGCAATGAAATATTGCTAAAGGGATCACTAAACACTTAAATTTGACAAAAACCAATTTCTCAGGGCTCAAAATCTGAACTTAACCTCTAACCTTACTTCTCTCCCCCAAAGACCTCAGCCCATAATAGAAGCCAGGAAACAAGTGTCTCTTTTTTTTTTTCCTTTTAAAAAATGCAGATACCATTGTTGCCGGGCACGTTATAAGCATCACTGAGACTCAAAGAGAAGCTGTTTTGTAGAATACAAGTCTCCCATTCTCAACAGAAATGTGGGCTGCTTTTAAACAGCAAGCTCTACAAGCGAGGGCTTATGAAAACCCCTCTTTCTGTAGCCACGATGGCCGTTCTCCTTTCCCCTCACACCAACCACCAAATCCTAATGTGGAATCTATGCAAACCTTTCAAAAACTAAAAAAACCAGAAACCTGAGATTCCATAGAGAACAAGCTAAAAATTGGTATGCAATCATGGCAAGTGACTCAGCACTGCTGCAATTACTTCAAGCCATGAACTTGATCCGTCCAAGACTCAGGAGCCTATCAAAATGCTCCCAAGTCTCAGGTTGTTTAGTAATAACTATTGGACTGCCCTGAATCCCATTACTGGTCGAAATTTGATCCAGGCACAATTGAAAAAAATGCTTACAAGTGAACTGAGAGTCCCAGTCACTCAGGGTCTCCTGTTGGGCAGCAGTGAGGTCAGAAAGATCATCATACTCGTCCTTCAGAGCTTCCTTATCCAGGCAAAATGTGGCGAGGCCCCTGGATGCATCTCTTCCAGCAAAGACCCCATACGGCCCCTCTTTAGAAACAAAACAAAACCAAAGACACAATCTTTATTAGACAGACAATTTCTCTGTGGTTTATACACAGAAAATGGCTTCCTTACCCATCAACATAGAAAGCCCCCTTTTGGAATATCCAATTCTATTTGGAAACCATAAGTGATGTTGATATTTTGATCATTATGTAGTGGATATTAAAAGGCCTATTGTTATTAAACTTATTTAAATAACTAAAACAATCAAAATGTTATGCATTATCATCCATTTCCTATGATTTTCAAATAGCTAATAAAAAAGCCATAAATGATTATCTTCTAGTGTGGGGGGAGGGGTGCTGGTGGGGACTAATCCAAGATAGTATTGAGTACATGGGTCACAATTCAGCTTTAGGAGATTGAAAACGGAGTCTGGTTCTGTTCTAGGCACCTGCGCTACACCCAAAGTTATGGTTTCTTAAGATAATAAACACTAAGGTTTTAGTAAATGAAAACATTTCCTTATAAACGTCAACAGAATCTTGCTTGCGAGAGTATATTAAACACTAACATGTGGCATCTGCAGGAGAAATTCTTTTATGAGATTATCAGTGGTTCAGAAATCTACCCACGTTACATAATCTTCACTGTCAATAAAAGAGATAGAACAGAGATCAACTCTGTCACTCTGGTTTTGGTAGGCTTGAAGAGAAGGCTAAAAATCTTAAAATTTTCATGGAAAATAGAGTCCAAATCAATATCCCCAAATAATTCTATAAAACATTAGAATGCTGTTATATATATTACACTGGACCTTTGTCTAAAAGAGCAGAGAATTATTGTGTAGGTACTTAAAGTAGATATTCAGACTTGCTTAAATATGGAACAAATAAATGAAAAGAATCCAGTGTACTTTAAACAATGTGTTTCCCCAAAGGTTGGTTGAGTAGCAACCCTGACATTAAACTTTGTAGGTAACCACTATGCCAAGTATAAGTAAGGGGTCAAGTTTCAATACAGCCTGGTCAGTCAAAAACCTCAATCCACCAGTACTTTATCTTTTTTACAAATTAAATGAAATTTATTATCAACTTTGAAATGCAAATAAGATTCCAAAGAAAATGGTTATTTTTAATCATCATTATATGCTACTATTTCCACCAGAGAAGGCAAAAAACAACAGCAAACCTTCAGTTTCCTAATGGAAATAGTAGCATCTAGTGCTTAAAAATAGGCCAATTGTACTGGCTTGGACCTCATCATTTCAGAAATTGTGGTCACAGAATACTTAAACACAGTCTGAGGGGAGCATTAAAGGACTTTGAAGAATGTGTATTATTCACCAGAATGTACATTAACTAGAATGTAAGCTCCATGAATGGAGATTTGTGTGTGTGTGTGTGTGTGTGTGTGTGTGTGTGTGTTCACTGTCATATCCCAGCACCTACACAAGTGCCATGTATAGAATAGGCACTCGAATGAATAATACTTAGGAATCCTTTGTAACATGAAGTCTCCTTCCCACACAATGTTACATATTCATGGGCTCATGGGACAGTGCAGGGTCCAGACTTAAGAGATCTCACAGGGGCCATCATTTTAAAGAGGGACAACTAAGGCCCAGAGAGAACAATGCTTGGCACTGGGTCACATAGCTGGTCAATGATCCAACCAGGGCTAAAACCCAGTTTGCTTGACTCCCAGTTTTGTGCTTTTTGCACAGGCCTACATTCATCTCAATGACTGCAAATTAAAATCATGATGATGCCCACATGCATGTGTTTTGACTACTTTATGGTGTAGCTCAGTAATAACTGGTATTTACACGATTATGTTTATTGATAATGCCTCTAGGTGTGCCACCATAAGTGACAAATAATACAGGTGGGGTTTTCAAGTTATTTTGCCAGTTACATATCTGCAGAAAGTAGATCTTCTAAATGATCCACAAGGAAAAACTGCTAAGTGGGAGAGTTCCTTAAGAATTTTAACACATCTGAATTTGATTAGTTGCACCGGGAGAGTAAAAAAGTAGGAGTGGAGATGGCCAGATTGCTGCCTTCTATACTCTCCAGAGCAGCAAGGAAGAGAGCTGGTCAGTGGTCAGTGTGCACATACTCGCCCAGCTCTCTGGTTTTACAGTCCATATCGGAGGAGCTAAAATCTCCTCTCCTCTCTTCAAATATGTATTCTATAAAGGAGGACTTTCAAAACCGGGCTGCATCTCCAACTGGCCTGGAGAAGCAGTGTGTTACATGCAGATTCCTGGGGATCTTCCCCACAGAAACTCTTCTGTTGTTATGGTGATTAGGCCAGAAATCTGTATTTTTTTTCTCATTCTCACCAGGTGATTCTGATCCAACTGGGCTTGAAAAGCCTCATCTCTAAGGCCTCTTCAAGCCTGCCCGTTCCAACAGATCTGCGGCCTTCCACCCTCATTTCTCTTCTGGTTGGCTTTTCCTGAATCCCCACACCCAGTAGCCTTCATAGCCCTACCCCCTTTGTTTCTCAGGATCCTCCCACTTATCCCTCCCTCCATTTTTAATTTTTTTTGGCTTCTGGTCCTTTCCTGCCATAGGCTACTGTATTACCTGCTCATCTTGCTACATTCCCATTGTCCGCCACATTCGGCTTTTATTCCTCTCTCAACCAGCTCCCTTCTCCCTATGGAACCTCTCTTGTTCGCCTTCCAGCTTCTCCCCGTCTGCCACACACAGCGCGCGCACATACACCAAACACATGCCACAAACATACCTGACACACGCCATACTCCACGCGTACACACACACACACTCCTGACAAGCCAAATACACTGACTACGCACACACAGCGCGCACTCACATCACACGTACGATGCTTCTACCTGCTGCTAATCCCACGTCCCTTTCCCTCTCCCACACCCTCACATTCCACCATGGCTACTCCTGGCGTCAGCGGCCTTCGCCCTCGCGTCCTCTTCAAGGCTGGGCGTCCCTCTTCCCGCTGGCCCCCCCATGCCACCCTTAAGACACCACCACCCTCCTTCCAGGAATCCCCAAACCCGACACCTTCAAAAAACCCCTAACATTGCGTTCGGCTGCGTCCTCCACATTCCCTTTCCTGCCTCGAGATCTCACTCACCCAACCCTGGTTTAAGCGCATCAGCCTCTCCACACACACTCCCTCATCGAGGCGCTGGCGCCGCGGGGCGGGGAATCTGCGCCCCCACTAGCCCGCAGCCCTTCCAGAGCGCCCCTTGCCCCCT